AATTTTGACTGTTCCGGTTCTCCATTTGACTTTTGCATGAGAATCCTCAAGCTCTCTCTGCTCTTCTGTCTTTAAACACACATTCTCTTTGGGTAAACTAATTCATTCTCACAGCTTCACTGCTGTTGATGGCCTACATTTTACACCCATCACAGACATTTCAACTGCTCCTCACCCCCGTGTCTTGAGCAGGGGTAAGAAATCTGAATTTAGACCCATTTTCCTCATCTAAGAAAAATATGATAAAACTCGAATTCAGCTGCTTTTCTCTAGCTCCTTTTAATAAGGTCAATGACACCATCATTTATTGAGTTTTTTAATTTCACAAATATGAGTGGCTTTTTTTTTTTTTTTTTTTAACCTATCATGCTAAAGTTCTAGAACCAAATAGGCAGAGTCCCTGATCTCATGGAGAATTGTAGTCTATTGTAGTCCAGGGATAGAAATGTATTGATAAAATATTCACACAAATGTATAATGACTAATAGAGATAAAGGCTGTGGACAAACTACAGATACTTACAAGTGTATAATACAGATGCCTCAGTAAAAAATGACTTTCAAGCCTGTATTTCCTTTACTCCCATATTTAATCGATCATGAAGACCTATTGGCCACACCCCTATTTTTCAAGTTTCAGCTCTGTTAGGGGTCATCTATTTCTGACCTTCAGAATACTCCAGCTGCATCCTCCTTGCAGACCATCAGCATATAGTTGCCATGTTAATATTCTTAAATGTTCATCTCTATCACATCACTCTCCAATCTGAGAATCGTCAATGGTCCCCTGAGGTCTATGGAATCAATTTCAGGCAGATTTCTTTGCCCAAATGCTTTCACTGAACTCATTCAAAACATTTCTATTACTACCTTCTGATTCAGATTTATTTGTGCTGTCCTCCATACCCAGGACTGCCTTCCTTCTCTTCGTTAACTTGCTATTTATTGAAGTCCATGATTTTCAAATTGTGAACCTTGAAGGGAGGGGAAACCCAAGTGAGGAATCTGGAAAGTGGAAAGGGTGAGATCTGGGCTCTGCTCTTATGGCTCTGCACTGGGTTTCTGGTAAGATTTCACTGGAAAAAAAGGGCCCAACGTGAAGAAACACTTGAAGGTCTATGTAGTATTGAAGTTTCCAATTAAGATTCGTCTTCTCCCAGGAGCTGTTCTTACTTAAGCCTCTCTTTTCCACATTGACTTTTCCCTCTACCTTTAACACTGTGCTCCTGGGTGTGAAGCACTCACTTACCTATTGCCTTGCATTGCATTTTTAATAAACTGGACTCCTTGAAACCTATTGTTATGCTTCTATTGCATCCCTCTGGTATGTGTCCTATCTTGGTATAAATGAGTGAATAAACCAATGAACACGTGAGTACTCGATGGTTATTTTAGCTAGTGGAAAATTTCTGTTTCTAAAATTAGAGTTTCAATCTATTCTCCATGTTTGGCAACAAAATAAATAGAAATAATATCAAAAGTGACATTCTTGTTGGGTTCTTGTGCTATAGGAGGATGAATCTACATACATGGTCAAGAAAAAAAAGGAGTGAGGAGGCTGTTGAGAGGAACTGAAAATGCTCTCTCTGAAACTTTTCATTCACTGGGATTGACCTCCTGCCCTGTTCTGTCCTCTTCACTCCCCCCAAAGTTTACATGGGCCTGTTGGCTAATCTGTGACATGGAGTTTCAAACTTTGTATCTTACCTCCTTTAGGGCAGAATGGAAATCTCTTGTAAGTCAGTCCAAGGTCTCATTTGGTCAATTGTAATAATGTGAGTTTAATTGAATCACAAATATCGTTAGCACTTATTATTCAAGTCTGTTCCTGAACTGTAAGAAAACACCGATCTATCCCAAATTCCCAACTGGGAACAAACAACAAAAAGAACAAGTCCCTGCAGTGACTTCTCCACTGAGCCCAAAAAACCACATCTGATAAGCCATGTAATTTGCTATAGCAATTTGTGCCAAAAATAAAGGCACACTTTTGCAGAGTCGCACATTTCTAAGAAAAACCGAACTCTGCCTCGTGCTAATCCAGCTTTTTCTTTCTTTTTCGAACTTGATGTTCACGGCTAGAAAATACCAGGTTGCGTCTTGGTCCCATACATCTATTCTGTTGGCGGCCCTTGGCCAAATGGCGAGGCCCATCCTCTGCCAGCGCCCCCGGGCCTCTCCCGCTGTCACACTGATCCATGAAGGGTGAGCTAAGGTGACAGCAGTGGTCTGTTTTACAACACCCCAATAACATGATGTCTTTAACAGCACAGCAGATTCTTGGCTGATGGCCCTGGTTAAAGGAAGAGAAGCACAGAATCTTCGAAGTCATCAATTTTAATGAGCGCTGCAACTATGCCAGTAAACTAGATCCCTTTATTTTTGTTTGCTTGACAAAGAAACCTGATACATCCAAGACATTTATTCCTTTTTAGTTCAGCACCAGGACAGGAACTCGTTTTTTTCACCACCGGTATTAAGCCCCCAGTGGTGATAAAAATTCCTGTGCTGTCTTCCTGGAGGCAAAGAATAAAAGAAACTACAAGGGGTGGGGGTGGTGGTAGGAACAACAACAACAACAACAACAATACAAACTTCTGAAAACACTGAGGCTTTTCTTTTGGCTCAGAGGTTAAACATGAATTGAGTTCCCTTGGCCAATGTACCTCATAAGCTTGGATAGTTTTGTGGAAGTTACAACAGAAATAAAAAATTTCATATGCATTTTCAAAGGCAAGGAATACTCAGTACTGTTTGGGGGAGGTGTGTATGGGGAAGAAATAAGCAGATAAAGCCAGAAGAAGATGAGAATTTGCCCAATTTATTTATAACTTAATGAATTAAAATATTTTGAAGGAATATTCCGAATTTTCTGGGCAAATCACACTAGAGGTACTAAGTAATTCCTATGGTTCATAGGGAGATAAACAACAGGTAAATTGCTTGAGATGTTTGTGTATCAGAAAGAACAACAACCTGGCTTTTGTCTCTAATCTTTTTCATCTTTGTGCAAACTCGCTGAACTCTCATTCCAGATCTGTAGGCAACAGGCAGGCATTTGTTTTAACTCCTTAAGTAAACTCAAGCTCTAGAATCGTTAAAGTTGAAAGTCCTTGTACAATCGCTAAATTACACTGCTCATTAGGAAGGGATTCGTAGCAAGGGCAAGCCGTGCCATTCCTTATGATTTTTTCAATCAAAAGAAAAATCTTTCTCTTCTCTCTTAAAAAATTCTTTAATACAGGGGAAAAAAACAAGTCAGAAAAAAAAATTACGCAAATGGCAAGGTAGTGACAGGACATCTATCAAGGTGGCTCTGAAAATTCCAATTTTTATAGTGTTATAAAAATATCATTATTAATGATGATTGACTGGGTTTTCAGAGCCGAGATATTTCAAGGCTGCTAAGTTAGAGTGGAGTGCGAAAGCAGGGGTGCTAAAATGGCTTCAGGGTTCCCTCACTTTGTTTCTTCATTGATTTTTAAGTAACATGTGAGCACACTCAAATTGATGATTTTCATTTTGAATTAGTTTGGCCTCTGTCATGGAGAGCCTTCCATCTTTTCCTGAGTGTCAGTGTCTAATTCATCTTCATCAAATCCCCAGCAGGAAGATTTGGATCTTATTACTTTTTGTGTTAGAGTTTTACCGTTTACAGGAAATTGAGACACAGAGAAAAGGAGAGAGGAATCTATCCACATTTTCAGTAAACTTACCCAATGGCAGAAGATTGCCTTCCCTCCTGGACCTGGGATGGGACAGTCCCAGGAGGTGGGAGAGCTGAGACCCTAATCCAGTACTCCCTTGAGATATTTTGTTTGTTTGCTTGTTTTTTTTTTTTTTTTTTTTGTTTCTTTCAGATTCCTGAAAAATCTTAGCCCCAGGTCTTTGTAAATTGGATACCTTGTACCTGTAGTCTTTATGGACCTAGACGTCCTCTCCATTTTACAGATGGGGAGATTAAGTCTAGGGAAAGCGTATAGGACTGGCAAAACTGTATTAGATTTTGATATGTGTAACTATTCCCATGAAAGTCTTCTATTTTGCACTGTTTTCGGTCACTGCCAAGACTGGGGAAAATGACAAGGATGGTTTTGTAAAGTGTAACTAAAACTGCTTGAAGAACCTTGCAGAAAGATAGTCCTGTTTAGTGTTTAGGTAAGGCCCAAGGTCCAACTTGAACTTCTCTAAGGACTCAGGGAAAAACACATCAACACTGACAAAATCAACCGTTGACTAAGCAAAAATCTTTTCCTTTCTACCCTTGAAAGCTTCTTAACTCTCAGCCCTCTGCTTTTAACTGTGAGCCTTGCTTCACTGTGTCTGAGGACTCGAGCATTCTCCAGTCCTCTGGGAAGACACCAGCTTGTCCTTTGACCATGTGCCAAAGGTGAAAAAAAGAAGAGCTTCAGAAACTGTGAACCAGGAAATTTTTTGTTTGTTTGTTTTTTTAAAACGAGATTTGCCAACCGTGCCAAGAAATGTTGTCTAAGTTACAGACTATCCGTCTTTATAATCACCCTTCCTCCTTCTTTTCTGAATTCTGCATTTTCACGGAGGGTAGATAATTTTTGGCATTATCCTCATTGGCCCAGCTAAGTTCTCAGTCCCTTGGGGTCCTGCTGACTCTATAAACTTTCAGCTTCTAAATCCAGTGCTGGCTCACCCAGGAAGGGGAAAGGCAAATTGAACAATAAAATTCAAGCTGTAGCTTCCGTTGTGACTCAAGAGCAGAAAATGTTTTTAATGTCCAAGAGCACATAAGTGCCATTAATCACCAAGAATTTATTATTTCTCATTGGGGCCCCCAAAGAAACACCGTTTTGCCCAACTCTATTATTATTTGGAATTTGAAAAGCTTTTCAAAACTAATTACCTGATTGAATATTTACCTAGGGCTAAGAATTTCAGAAGTTCTTTCATAGAACTTATATATGCCAAAAAAGAGAAAGTAGCATTTCTCTTCCTTTCTTTTCTTTTTCATTTTTCCTTTGTGTTTCTCTTCCTTTCCTTAGTGACCCTTGCTGTGTCAGCCTTTCTCTGCATGATCAGTTTGCTGTGATCTATGGAAAACTCCCACCTCAGGAATTTGAAGCCTGTGGTAAGTCTTTTTATTTTTTGAGTCCAGGCTATAGATTATTTTTGTTTTAGAAAGTTTTAGAGGCTTGTAATATAGTCTCAGTTTTTTATTTTTTGAATTGCATAAATAAATTAGACCTTTATCAGGGGGAGGGATTTTTGCAGGCATAAGGTCAGGATACTTTTCTATTGTATCTCAAAATGTTAAGTATTATTTGGGTGTTCACACAATAAGTTTATGAGATCCTTCCTTCCTGCCTGCCCTCCTTCTCTTCCTTTTCTTTTCTCTCTCTTTTCCCTTCCCTCCTTCTCTTTCTTTCTTTCTTTCGATGTTCCTAGTACAATAAATCAACATTGAAAGAAAGTTATAAACTCATTTGTTAGTAATTCTTAGACTACATTAGAATAATTGATTTGGGGAACCTAAGTAACTATTTACCACAACAAACCCACATTTCTTATTTCATGTGGAAGAGAGCTGCATTTTTTTTCATGCACAGAGATCATATCAAAACTTATGTTAAACAATGGGAGCTTCAAATTCATTCTCTGGTTTTGGGGGACATAACTTCTTGAGGAGTGAGATGGCAGTTAAACTAGAGTATTTAAGATGCAAGGAAGAATTTTAAAAAGGTTTCCTTTCCTGGGTTAGGATGAACAACTTTAATAGTGCAGAACATTATTAGTAGTTTCATATGCTCCATCCCAACGGGGAACTGATGGAGGAAGACCACTGCATTTGTTGAAAGCCTATGGTCTGCCAGGCTCCATACGTATTCTCCCCACAGCACTTCAGGGTGGGCATTGTTATCCCTATTTCAGAGAGGATTAGGTGATCTACAGAGGTTCAGAGGGATTAGGTGATCTAACCAATATTAAAAGCTTAATAAATAGCAGCTCTAGGAAGATCTCTATGCGACTCCAAATCCATGCTTTTTTCCCATTATAACCTATTGCTTCCAATAGGTGAGAAGGCTAATTTAACATCTACCATTACTGCCTATCTACACAGGTAAATGCACAGAGAATACTAACTCTTTTAGTGGTATGCCAACTGGAGGTGGGGGAGGCCATTGCCTTTGGCTAACCCATCTCTCTAAGAATCTTGAGGATGAACAATGTGTCTTCTTTTTCTCACTGTATTGCCTGAGGGAAATGAGCAGTTCAGAGAGGCCACTCCAGGATTTCACCCAGTGGCTGAGTGCTCAGGCCGAGGACATCAAGCATATGCAACCACTGGTGCATCAGGTGCAGTGAAATAGACCAGAATCAGCCTGGACATTCCTGCGATCTTCAGCTGTGGTCTTTTTACAAGGCGTTGGGTCAAGACAACCTCAACTGACAGGACCAGAACAAGTTCTCGGTGGATAGGGCTGCTTCTGGGCCTAAGTGTAGTTGTAAAATAGACTTATTTTCTGGGATACAGGCTTTCCTCTGAGAGCTTTTGTCTCTATTACAGAAATTCCTTTCCCTTCAGCACACTGGACTTCATACTCATTCCACTTTCCCCTTAACACAATCTGATGTGGCAAGCTATCACCTGGAAAGAATCTAATCAATTATATCACTACTTACAGGAATGACTGATGGTGGAATTTCAAGAATCAAGGGAGGCAAGTGAAGATGAAACTTCAAAGCAGCAGAGGTTTCTTAACACCCTTCGATGTTTAGGATACAAGTGACCACTTATTCAGGAGGCATTCATGGGTGAGACTGATCCTGGAGGTTGATGGAGAAAGGCTAATGGAGGTGGTGGAAGGGTGCTTGACCAGACTGTGCCTCTGGAAAAACAAAAACATAAACAAAAACAAAAAACCCAAAAGTCCTTTTGCTGGCATGTTTTTGTTCTGGTATCTTCCAAGTCACTCTACTATGGACTCTGGCATTTGGATTGAAGTTGACTGTGGGGTTGGGGGTGGTGGTGGTGGTGATGGGGTGGTGGATGGAAGCATTTTCTTTCCTGCAGCTGGGTTCTCAGCTCTCTAGAGGGAGACCAAGATGATTCCTTTTGTCATTGTAACTTGGTCAGAGATCCTTCCTAGAGAAGAAGGAGTGATTATGAAGACTGATGGCCTAGACAAGGGAGAAGAAAAATGCAACACACTTTTTTAAAAGTAGTCTGCAGGCTGGCTGTGATGCCAGTAGGATCTGATGAGGTTTTCCTAAAGCTTTTTTCATATCTGTTGCTTTATTGTAGTCCAAAACTTTTGGTTGTGGAGTTCAGGAATTTTCCTGGAGTGTCAGCCATTTACCTCCCCTCTTACTGACTGTGGGTACCTAGGGCAGAAGGATGTGGCCAATTTATAACATGATCCATGATATACAAAAACATTTTCTAAGAAGAAGCTTTCTTCCACAGGCATTTCAGAAGCACTAATATTTTATCTAGAGGGTGAAGAAATACTAAGAGCAAAGCCACTGTTGCAACCTGTGGCAGGATAAGTAGATAATATGTTTCTTTTGTGCTTGAGGGGTTGGCCAACAATGTTTGTGGTAATTATAACTCATTTCTTGCTTAAAGGAGAAGGTGAAAGGGCTTGAGGAACACCTCTGTGTACTCCACACTGTGAGAAGGATGTGTTGAGAAACTAACACAAAAAATAAGCCAGATGAAAAAAATAAGGAGAAGGAGAAGGGAAATCTTGGTCAACGAGTAGATGTGATAAATTAAGCAGCTTTTCCCATTGGTAGAAATTAGGCTTATTCATACTTCTTTTTGACTTGGTTTTTAAATATGCATCCTTCTGTCAGAACATTGCTCTAGCTGTTTTCTACCCATTTCTCTAAGTGTGCCTACCCCCACTGTGTTGTGAACTATATGAGGGTAGGCGTCCTCTTTTTTTGTATCCTTAGCATCAAGCGGGATACAGAACAGTTTTGCAATAAGTGACTAATGAATGACTGAAATTATTTTTTATGTTATAGAATTTTAATTTTAAAACAGTCACTTCCCTGGGAATGGGACACTTCTGTGGGTCATCTCAGAGAATTTAGAACCAATAAGCTGACCTGAGTAGGGCTAGATTATGGACTAGTTGAGGAACATAATCTCATTTACCATAAATTGACAATCTGGAACATGAATATGGTGAATTTAGCCAAAGGTGATTCCTCGAGGCAAAGAAGAGTACAGAAGATTGAAGACTATCGCCAGATTCCAGAAAGACATGCTTCTGGCAGGGCTGGCTTCATGGGAGTGCAGCCTGTGTAGTCACATGGAATCCTGTAGTCAGAGGGCCCTGCATGCGGTCTATGGTGTTCTACTGCAGTCTTGAAATTCTTAATAAGGTTTGAACAGAGACCTACAATTTCACTTTGCAGTGGGCCCTGCAAATTAAGTAGCTAGTCCTGGCTACTAATAAGATGATGGGAGCCACAAGGGCCAAGATCAGAGAAGTTGCACTGGACAGTATCTGAGCACAGCAGGGAAAGAAGCAAGCACTGGTTTTAAGAACTCATCTTACCTGCCCCCTGAGGGTGTTGCAGGCACTGCATAGGGCAGATTTCCTGGAAGGGTGAATGATAGGACCACTGGTCAAGGAAAGACAGGTATCCTCTGGGGAAGGAGTGTTTAGGGAGTTAAGAAGGAAGACCCTTTTCTTTCTGGGGTAATGGGAGAAACAAAAAGGAGGGCTTGCAGGGCTGGAAGACTGAGGTAGTCTCAGGAAGAGTGGGGACATACCTGCAAATTCAGAGTGAAATAACCTGAAATACAGAGAAGGAATCTATAGGTATTTCTATTCTCTGACCCTAAATAGGGTCTCCTAAGGAATGACAGAATGACGAACCTGCAAAGCTCCACACCAGGGTCAGATATTAAGATGTGAGTCGTAGAACACACTAAAAATCCACAAAACCTCACCCTGGTTTCTAAGTATACTAGAAAGAAGGAAAGTCAGTGATTACATGCCAAAGAAAATAGCTAGGAGAACTCTTGATTTATATAGCTAGGAGATTTCTCGATTTTGGGGGATAACTTTTTCACATTTGTTGTCATTAACCCATCTACTTCTCCACAGTAATAAAATGATACTGTCTTAACCTGGCCCTGTGTACTTATTCTGGGCTGTAACAAGAAAGGGAGGAAGGGGGGTGAGTCATATTTGTACTCTGTAGAATACCTTAGGCAGAGCCTACCTTGTAAAGAAACAAATCATAGGACATGGAGTAGAAGGGCACAGCTTTTCTTGTTTGTTCGTTTTGTTTTGTTTTTTGAAGGTTAACTATTTGGGGCCCCTCTAAGGACGGTGACAACCATGACACAGCTGAGGATGAGCAAGAGGAAATTAAGCTGTGTGGAAGCTTTTTGAGGTTCTTCTCCTGGAGGGTACTTCCAGACATATTCAAGTAGAGGCATTATCCAGGCACTGAGAGATTCCAAGAGATTCCTAAGCATTCAAAAAATGATGGAACTCTTATCTCAAGCAAATTAAAACCACACATATCCTAGCTATTTGATAGTGAACTCTCTGCTGGTTGGGATGAGGTAGCCATGCATAAACCTGGCATGGTCATGGGTCTACACACTATAACTTCTCAGAGCAGGCACCCAGATATGAGGGAGGACCTGCCAAGATCACCAACCTCACCAATCCCTGCTACTCTGATTGTTCATGTGGGAACAAAAGTTGTTGTCTCAGGATCTGCATCTCTAGGATCAGGTTGGAAAGGGAAAACATGTAAGGGTGGGTAGAACTTTTTTTGTCTTCTTTTGGTTTGTGGCTGTGACTCTGGAAGAAGAAGGTGGGCAATGTCTGGTTACATAGAAAGTATCTAAGGGAAAGAATTTTGTCTTCTGGATCATGATAGGATGTCAGTAGGTTGAACTACTGAAAATGGAAATGGGCACTGGATCAAAGCAGAGAACATATTTAACAAAAATGAGTGAATAAAAAGGCAGTAAGAAAAACCAAGACCAACTACCAAGTAGGTAATAAGGACAGTGGGCACGTCAGAGAAAGGGTTTGCATGTTAGAGGTGCTCCTTAGTAATTATCACTCTTTCATTTGTTCAGCAAAGAATAGAGATATTCACTGAGAACAGTATTTTTGGGGGCAGCTGGGTGGCTCTGTGGGTTAAGCATCTGACTCTTGATTTCAGATCAGGTCATGATCTCAGGGTCATGGGATCAAGCCCCATGTCAGGCTCTGTGCTGAAGATGGGAGTCTGCTTGAGATTCTCTCTCTCCCTTTCCCTTTGCCCTTTCCCCCTGCTTAGTCTCACTCTCTCCCTCTCAAAAAAGAAAAAAAGAATATTTATGTTCTTAAAAGACTATATATGTCAACACAGAAAAGGAGGTGGCAAAAGAACTCAAAGTTTTAGACCCCAAAAATAAATATACTGTTATTGAGAGGACTAAGGTTTAATGGGATAAAACTCAGCCTGAAAATATCAAGAGAAAACCATACTTTATTCAAAAACTGATATGAGAGAAGGAAAGTAGAATAGTGCTATATATAACAAAGGTATATACCTAGTTAGAAACAAAGCTCAAGCAAAAAAGAAATCAACCAATTTGTTGTCATAAAAAAAATACCGCTCAAAGCCCTTGGGCAGAGGAAAAATACAAATATTGTTTTTAGGGTTAAATGTCAGTATGAAGTAACTCTGCAGTAATGAGAGAATTTGACTATCTTTTGGAAAATTAATTTTGATAAAATTAAAGTACTTGATATGTGTTTCATTTTTAATGTTCACATTTTTTTATCCCTCAAATGATGTCCTAGACAAGGGCAAATTGTGATTGGTCTGTAATAAGATCAAAGTAAGTATTTGGATACTTTTATAGCAATTTTCATCATCACAACATTTTGATTTAATTTTACAAAATTAAAACCAATCCTTCACTGCAGATGCTTGAGAGGCATTATCATAGTTCATGATAAAATATAATTCAGAAACTGTACAACTCTTTGGAATACAGCTTATTGGGAAAGGGATTTTAAAGAGAAAATGAAAGAATGGGGGAATTTGAGTATATATTTGGCTATTATCCCAATGAGAAAAATGAGGGAAATCTTCTCAAAAGTAGTGTTATTGTTATTAGCAGCTCTCCTAATGAGAAAAAGGGGTGACCCCTTTCTACTGAGTATTTATTATATACTGGATAGTTCTATTTAAATTATCTTATTTAATCTTTACCCTTTGGATAAGTGATACTATTCTAGTTTTTATGGAAGGGAGTCATAAGGTTCAGTGACTTCAGAGAGTTGCATGGTAGCTCCCCAAAATGTATGTCCACATCCTAATCCCCAGAATCTGTGAATGTTACTTTATATGGCAAGAGAGATAATTAAGAATGTTGAGAGGAGGAGCTTGCCATAAATGGGCAACACATATTCTTATAAGATTGACACACAGAGGAGAAGATGAAGAGGAAACAGACAGGGGCTGGCCATAAGCCAAAACACACACACACACACGCGCACACACACACACACACACACACACACACAAAACAATAATGTCTGAGCCACTAGAAGCTGGAGGAGGCAAGGAACAGATTCTCCCTAGAGCCTTTGGAGGGATTGTGGCCTTGCAGACACTTGGTTTCGGCTTCTGGCCTCCAGAATTGTGAGGGAATACATTTGTTTGCAGTAATTTGTTACAACCACTTTAGAAACCTAATATAGTGACTTAAAGAGATTTCTAGAAAATGAAAAATCTATTACTTAATCTCAGGTCTAACTCCAAGTTAGGACATGGTCTCATACACTGGGTTTCAATGTTCATTCCTCTACTCACTATACTTGGCTTTCAAAGTCTCCACTCCTTCTGCTGAAAACAAAGTGTCATAAACCAAATTAACAATGTTATTGTGAGGGTTGAATATGATGCCTTATGTGTAAACTTCTTTGCAAATTGTAGAGCACTATTCAAGTACTAATTACCAAGACATGCTTCCCCCAGAGAGACTGAAGAGATGATGTTAACCCTTTTCATTGACTACCTGTCTGTTGCTGATGCAATGGCACTGGGTTGTCCGCACTCCTGCCATCGCAGATGGCAATGTGGTTGTACACCTCTCTCCGATGCACTGCCCTAACATCATGTGCCTGTGCACATCCTGAGCAATTCCTTCCTTCCTCTCTCCCTCCTTTCTTCCTTCCTTCCATCCTAAAAAAAAAATATTTTATTTATTTTTAGAGAGAGAAGGAGAGAGAGAGAGCAAGTGGGGGGAGAGGCAGAGGGAGAGAATCTCAAGCAGACTCCCCACCAAGAGTGGAGCCCGATGGGAGGTGCTCAATCTCGCCCTCTGTGTGATCACCACTGGAGCTGAAACCAAGAGTTGGCTGCTCAACCCACGGAGCCACCCAGGTGCCCCCGAGAAATTTCTACTTGAAAGAAAACCACAGAGCTACCATGCCAGAAGAAAAGAATTGTTTCCTGCAATATATATATATATTTTCAGTATTCAGAGGAACAATACTAAATAACTC